TTTGATTAGGCCAGCGTTCATGCAAGAAAAATAAAGCCCCCCCTCTCATATCCGTCTAACCGCAGGAGGGGGGGGTTGCAAGTGTGTTCTGGTGGTGGGGGAGAGAAGACGATATAGAATAAAAAAGAGGAGCAATAACAGCGATTGAAAAAGCCTTATCGTCCTGCAATGCCTTGCATACATACATACATACATACATACATACATACATACATACATACATACATACATGCACCCATTCTGGAAGTATGAGTAAGTAGTATGTGCATTGCCGCATTTGTCTAATGTAGCCCGGCCGCTCGCTCTGTTGTGGTGTCTCGGCAGAGGGCTGGTTTGGCATCAATTCTTTTTTTCTTTTTTTTTTTCAATTCTTTGGGTAGGTCAAATTCGCTTTGGGCGGGGTTCTTGATGTACATGCGTGGAACAATTACCATCAACATTAATTACAAAAGTATCATGATTTGATCTCTGAAGGTATCTTCCATTCTAAATCCTAGAGTCATGTTTACACACCCTAGAGAATACATTGAATACAATTGATGAATTTGGCTGCAAATCCCTTCCCATGGCCAGCCATCACCAGCACGACGCGTCTTCCCCGGCCCAATCATCATGCATGAGGTCGTGACGGCCCGGACGCAAACGGCTTTTACAGGGCAAGCAGGGGCAAAGAGGTCGGTCCTACATAACCTTGGGGTGGCCAGCCTGTCGACCAGCCAGCAGCTTATACTATGTACTGCACTACAGCTCACCTCGCCTATCTTCCCCGCCGCGTTTTGTGAGCCAATGATATAGATCACGTCATAAGAGTGTGCCCCGGTGACGCTCATTGAATGGCTCGGAGAATTTCTACTTTGTATGTGAATAGGTAATTGACACCTAAAGAAGAAAGAGAAGAGCAATAAAAGGCAGAAACTGACCAGGATTGTGATTTTCTTTCTTTTCCTGTTCTCTAGCTGGGGATTTGATCGTAGTATGCGACCCAATCGCCGACGGGCGGGTAGTGGGAAAAAAAAATACAAAAAAAAAAAGGTGTGTATCGCATGAAACCTGCTGTCATGGCTCTGCAGCTCTTGAGCCAGCCCAACAAGCAACTCCGACTCTCCTCCGCGAGACAATTGCCTACCTACGACGTAGTATAGTAAACAGATGCGATGCGGGGGAGGGGAAAGAGAAAATCACGCTTTCTTTTTCCTTCTTTCTTCTCTTGTCCACCCTCTTCCGCATTCGCGTTTCTTCAAAGCAGTCACACTAATCTGGGCCTTGGGGTTTGATTCTACTCTTCTCTTCTCTCTAGCGGCAAATGCAATATTATGCGTTTGGTTTGGTGTTTTTGGTCGACATTTTCCTTTTGCCCCGCGTGTACCTCGTTGACCATATAATTTGTCTTGTTTGTACAGACGGTTTACTAGAAGACGTATCCTGGCAGTACTTTTGTTTTTTTGCTTTTTCTCCTTGAGCTGCATGCTGCAGCCTGAAAGCATATCGGTGAACCAGACATGCCAATAACCCTTGACCTGCATCGATTCGTAGATCTTGACAGATGCGGTCAAGGTATGTGGTATGTTTTGTTTTCAAGTACGTACGTAGGGTGAATTTCGTTTGCCGGGCCAAGGCAAGCCGGGATTGCATCAATCGGGTATACACATACTGTAGACAAACGCTGCTGGTCAAGACATGAAAAGTTTTAGCTCACGTACATATTAATCGTCAAAATTATTACAATGTATTGGTCATCATGAGAGACCATGGTGCCGCAACACCACGCTACGTTTCACAAATTACATGAATAGCGGAATATATGCTCTCATTGGCGCGTTTGTCTGCATTTGTACCTGACTTGAGCCAGTTGATATACTATAGTAGGCGTGCAAGTGTCGGGACATCTTGGCGGTGAAGGAAGCTCACAAGTAAACGGTTTAGTCAGTAAAGTGCTCCATCTCCTGGTCAAGAGGCACTATAGCACTCTACGCTTCTTGTTAGTTGCGTTTGCTATCCTCGGAATATTTCACACAGCCGCGAGACATACATCAAGTCATCACCAAAGCAGTAGTTCGATGCGTGACAGTCAAACACGTTGGGACACTTGAGGCCCATCCAGCTACCGAGACCTTTTCCAAGGAGGATCTTCGATCAAGTGCCGGGCCGCCGGACTATATCGTACGACTAGTTTAAGCATTTCAGTTTGCGGGTCGGTCCTGTGACCTGGGAATTCTCAAAGAACAATAGTCACACCTGTATGTATTAGTCGCAGGTAGTATCCTAGAGCAGGCGGCTCTTGAACAATTGATCAAATAAAAGTGTACAAGAAAATTGAAAAAAAGAAATAATAATACTTTAACGCGCCTTCTTGATCAACTAGACTGCAAGTACCATTTTGTATAATGGTCAACCAGCATCATGATCTGCAATATATCCTACTAGTATTCACATTATCTAGATCTCAAGAGGAGCGCAGGCATGCCCATCCGACGAGCCATATGCGCACGCTGAGATCATTTTTTGTGGAATTGAGCCATAATACAAGCAATGAGTGGCCCTCCAGCACTGCAAAGGACCTCCGCTCTTATCAATTGCCCATGGGGGAACCCGCGCCTCCCCTGAACAGAGGGGATGATCAACTTGAGAATTTCTCTTTTTATTGATTCTTAATTGGCTACACATTTTGCTCTTTTCCCTGGTTGAGCTCCGCCCAAACCCCCCGCTCACAAAATGGGAGGAGGAGCAGCGGGGATGACATGGTAGAGAGGACCCTTTCCGCGTCGGCGGAAATGCCACTCACTCTTGCTTTGCGCCCATGGGTTTTGAGAGTAACAATTCAGGGAAAAGATTGCCCATACCTGTGACAAGCAGAACTCTTCCCTTGTTTTTGCCAGTGTACCAGACTAATTGATCCACTTGCTTGGAATGGGGTCGAACCAAGATGCTGAGACTGCGAGACTGCCAGAGTCGTAGCGAGCAGGCTGGCCTAGATTACGCTGGGACAACAAAGATCGGCACGCACATTGTGGGTATTGATGGATTCAGGGTCTTTTGACATTGAGACAAATTCAGGAAACTCCCATCTCCATGGAGAAGACGGCAATGTATTGAGCTATCGAAATGCTATAGTGAAGTAAAATGAAACGAAATGGTGTGTTTTGATATTGGTACAATCCCACTTACTATTAGGTAGCAAGCATTGGATACAACTGCCACTATGAGGGCCGAGGCCATGTGAAAAATAAAATTGCTTTCTGCATCTTATAACCTGCCCCAGCAGCTAGACTGTCATATTGGCCAGCACGTGGACAGCGCCAAATTTCCGCATCCCCAGTGGCAACCAGAGTATACTATAGGTAGCTGCAGCGAAAACGAATTCCCCCCACGGAGGTCGAGGGGGGCAGGGCAGAAAGGGTGTCAAGAGTCATGCATCCCGCGAGAAACAGTCGTCATACCAATCGCCATTGTATATGGATACCAAGGAAATGATTGCAATTGATGCAGCATGACTATCGCGAGATCCGGAGCAGTCAGTGTGTTTTACGACAAAACATTGGGTCACTTTTGTCTTTTCTCCTCGCAAGGCGGCCCACCCAGACCAAAAAGAAGGAAGAAAAAAAGAAGGGACCCTTTCCCCAGATGCGTCATAAGCCTTGGCATGGAACAAGAGTCTGGGGGAGACGAGGTGGAAAATCGGAATTTTGCGCTCGCTTCTTTGAGGAGGGGGAGGCGTCAACCGGCTCCAGAAGGGCGCAAAACGCGGTCACAAACTATCCGCACGCAGCTGACCGAAAAACCGCACGAGCCTAGTATACACATGCCGGGTATGTCTTTTTCCCCCATCCTCCAAAATCATGGTCGTGAGAGTCAGACTAGACAAAGAGTGGCGCTAGAATACAATACCTACAAGTTCTGACCGATGGCATGGGATGGGGTAACATGAAGCAATCGAATACGTTTCTCTTGCTCCTGGTCGTTAGACAATGGATCCCATGTCGCTATTCGAATCGACACAGAAAGCTTGAATTCTCATGTTATCTGCAAGATCAGACCTAAATTATCGAAACCAGTTTGGTCGTGCATTAGCAAAGAGGTCCTCGTGACCGTTACCAGGAAACCTTGAGAAGGAATACTACTAGGTCGGTAACAAGACTGACACCCATTCTATCACATGCTGACAGCGTGTGCAGCTACCATGCTTTGGATCTACATCTCTGCCGCTTGAGACTACCTACACATGCACCATGATCTTGATTGTTCTACCAAATCGTAGAGTAGTCAATAACTGCGAGTAGTAGTAGTAGATACTTAGCACACACACACAGACACACACACACACAATGTTCATTTCACAGTATAGGCCAGATTTGTTTGTGTTTTGCACATGCTTTTATTCATGTTTTGTAGGGCTTTTCATCTTTTGCTCTGTTTTTTAGGGTCGGTGGACACTTTTCGCTTTTCTCTTCACCGCGCTCTTGTGTATTCCCCATCCAACCAGTGTGCCCTTTTTGTCTCGTTCTTTTGCTGCTCCGTCCGACCAGCTGCCAATGGGTTGCCCCCAGCTTCCATGTAGAATACACACTACCATTCTTTCGAGACATGTAGACTGCTCTGAGCAGCACACAAATAATAATAAACATACCTCCGCCCTGGCCTTTATCACCGGGGCGGGAACAAGAAAAACAAACGTGGTATCATGATGCGAAAACGCCCAATAATGTATCAAAGTGTAAAACAATTGCCAAGTTCTCTTGACAGTAATGCGTGAGGCATCTAGTGCCCCGGGACCTTTTTTTTCGTGTCGTAATGCCGGTCATGAATTTATGGCAACTGAATAGGCCATGTGCTTTGAACGCCGAGAATGCAATGCAATTAGTGTCGTACAAAAATCGAACACCTCGCAATGCCGTGATCAAATGAAGTGAATATACAGGGTGGTTGAAACCACCATTGGGACCGCTATTGGCGAATTCCCTTTTTCGTGTCGACATCAAGTCGACGGGATTGGAAGAAGTTTTCTACCAGCCTTGGGCATGGTAGCCGTTGAGGTCTGCTCTCTCCAGATACTGATTCCAGCTGCTGGCGTTGGGCTCATCATTGGCCGTCTGGCCCTGGTCCTTTCCCATGTACGACTTCTCGGGATACTGCTTTAGGTTGGCAACATCATGCGAAGTGTGGCGCCTCTTCAAGACAGCGTTGGCAGTGGAGGACTTGTGCTGGCGTTCCCAGAGAAGGTGACGGCGAAGCGACTCGGTGAGTTCGGTGGCAAGCATGTTGCGGCGAGTCGTTCGTGGCGACAGAGCAGCTTGGTGAGTGCTGTGGCCGGCAGCCAGAATTGGCTGCGCACTGGACCGAGGAATCTCGTTGATGGGACGCAGAGGGGTGCGGCGCAGGCCTCTCTTCATCTCGAGACCATGATCATCGGAATCGTTAGGAGAGGCAACCATCTGTGGGGCATTGTGGTAGGTGCGGGATCTCTGCTGTGGGATGGCCGAGGTAGACTGCGAGGCGTGGTTGCCCAGGCCAGGACGCTGTTGCTCCTGACCAGCAAACATCAGGCTGATGAGGGATCGCTGGGAAGTCAAGTTTGGCTTTGAAGGCACTCGCTTGAATGTAACAGGATCATCCATGCTGGACTTGCCACTCTCTTCGATGCTATCCTCCCAGTCAGAATCCTCATCGTCATCGTCGATGGCGCTCTCATCCATGTAGCTATCGCTCTGATCGCTTGGTGTCTGAATGGTTCGTGTGGTCACCTGGTTGCTGAATGAAGTCTGCTTCTTCTGGGCGCTGAGGAGGGAGTTGGGTCGGGCTGAGTGCATAGCACTCTTCAGAGATGGGGTCTCATCGTTGCTGGCGGAGGATTCTCCGATGGAGAACATGCTCTTCTTCTTGGGTTGCTGGATCATGGGCTGGCGAGTTTCCAGGCTGGGCGACGACTCATCACCCGAAGAGCCTCCGAGAGCAAACTTCGCAGGCTTCTTGCGAAGCTGAACAGGCTTGTGAGCTGGGGAAGAGAGCGGCTCAGGAATGGCATCTACGTCAGAGGCCTTGGAAAATTCTTGGCTCATGATACGCAGGGAAGGAATGGGAATTTGAGATGGCGAGAAGCCACGGATGACTTGAGTGTTGTGCGTGTTTGCCGAAGATGCCAGCTCGGAGGAGTCGGTGTATTGGCCCTGTTCCATCGAGTGGCCCATGGGCTCGGTTGCCGGGGTGGTTGGTGATTCCATGGCGTCCTGGGTTGCCGACGAGAAGGCAGAGCCAGAAGCTTCAGACTCGGGCTCTAGCGACGGCGAGCTCATCTCCGGCAATGGATTCAAGTTGGGCTCTCTCTCCTGGATAATGCTGACAACCATGCGCTCAAGGTGGTCCGAGGTGATGTGACGTTCCCGTCCACGGCTTTGACTACTGGCGCACGAATCCTGTCGAACGATTGCGGGTCTCAGAATATCTACTGGCTCCAGCTCAGAGGAGAACTCGACAGCTTCCTCGTCGTCCTCAATGGCTGAATCGACGCTGCCAGACAATTGAGGCATCTCAGTTGCAATCTGGTAGCTGGGAATATCCTTTGGTACCGATGTGGCGTGGGAGTCGACTTGGTCCTTTGTCTGTCCTGCCTCGCAACATTGGATCTCGCGGTTCCATAACCTCCAACTAAGGTTCTCTAACCGGCGGCCTTGCTCTACCGAATCGGCGCATCTGGAGAATACTAGTAGCTGTATGTTAGTTACGAGACACCACACATGGTGTTGGATGGTAGCGGTGGCGGTGACGGCAGGAGCGCGAGAGACTTACGAGCCCAAATGCTGAAGAAGTTTTGTGGGTTCTCGGTGTCGACCTTGTGGAGGACATGGGGGTCCACAGTCAATACCAATCCTTCTGTTCTGCTAGGCATATTGAAGATGTGCTGCTCAGCTATGGGAGCAGTGCAATTTTGGATATGGAGGTCGATGGTGTGTTGTAGAGTAGTCTTCGCGTGCTACTACAAGAACGCGGGCGTCACCGTAAACGCAGTTGTGAATCAATCAATAGCTTCCCATGAGCCTTTTGTCGTTGAGCGGTAAGAAGTAGCCGTGCCAGGCGGTGGAGTACTTGAGTGCGACCCGGCGCAAAGTGTAGACGATATCACCTCTTGTGTCGACGAGGTAGATATGGAGGGGAGACGTTGATAGCGGTCGAAAGCTCGTCGTCGTCGTCGTCTTTGTTCTTTTTTTTCCCTCTCATACACAACGACGGATCGGATCGGTCGTTGAGGAGATCGGTTCGTTAGTCGAATCTGGAGTTGAGGAGAAACTAAACCAGACAACGGGGAGTGGGTTGCTGAGTGTACATATGTAAGTAGAGTTGTGTGTATGTGTAGGTGGAGTTGCGCTTCTTCTTGTTCGTGCGTCGGCTGGCTTTTGATATGATGGAGCGGAGCAGAGGCAGAGGCGTCGGGTGGGCGTGTGGGCAAGTGGGACATGGGTCCTGGGGCCTGACTGAATTGAATGGATGAAAGAATGAATTGCGGTGTAAGTACCTCTCCAGGGCCCGCTGTAGCGCACCAGGACGCGGTACTTAGGGGTACGTACTCGGCGAGTCAGACAAGGTACGTACCCCTACGTGGTGCAATCTATTAGTACGTACCTTTTTCTTTCCTTCTGATGGGTGGCGCAACTGGGATCAAGGGGAGAACCGATTCTTGGGAAATGGGGGGAATTGATTGAAAGAGAGGGAGGGGTACTCTAGGAACCGGCGAAATCACCGCGGCGCTCGACGTACCTCCTTGGGCTCGACACGCAATTCTACCGCTTTGCCGTGGTGCTTTTGGCCAGGTGCACCTGGTCCCTCCGCCAGCAGTGCTAGCTCTCTGTGCTCAAAAAAGTTAGAGACTGTTTTTAGCGTGACAGCTAGATGCAAAAACGGCAATATTCATCTGATCAGGCAATGCGCTTGCAATCCCCTTGGAACAAAGCGCCGGGACAGCGCCGGTCAATTGCAATCCCTCTCTCTTGCCCATCCACCAAAAGTTCGTTGGCAATAACGCGTATGACTCCACAAGCGCAAAGCAGAGGGACGATATTCTTCAATCTGTGACCTCGTTGCCCTGAGCTCGTCCGGCCAAGTGGATTTCAGTGTCCACAGTCGGCAAAGTCCAGCCTCTCTCGCCGTTTCAAGCACGGGTCCTGGTCACAATGGCGATGACCTCGCCGCATCTGGAGCGAATAATCTTGCCAATGGGCTCCAAGTGTGTATACTACCACTCTAAAGCAGTGACAAAGGCAATCAAACGTGAGGCAACCTAGGTATGGATATACGACTTGTAGCACTCTGGTCATGGTCAACTGCGGCTTCCCAGTTGGTCGTGTTGCGATGGAATGACTTCTGGCCGCGGCTTGATGAACGGATGCCATTACGACCGCAGCACGTCCGTTTTTCGCGTCGTCCCGGCTCGGTGATGCCGTCTCTCATTAGAACATCCTAATAACTTTTGCAACTCTATCAAGCCTTGCAAGGCCGTCGGAATGATCCCTTTTGCGTTAAATATTCTTCCGCAACACGGCACGAGGCTTAATTGGCCTGGAATTCATTATTCAGATTCACCATGACTCGATAGGACTCTTGAGTTGTCTTTCGGTAGCTAGAGTTTCGAATCCACCCGCTAATCGTCAATGAATGCCCTATTCGGAAATTTCTGCCACTGCGGTGAAAGTAGTAGTAGACCGTTTCCACTCACTTGTAGGATCACTTCTAATGGTCTGGTATTCCTAGTAGTATGTAGTACACTGTGACAAGAGATAGCGAACAAGCCGACAGCCTGTAGCCAAGTAGCCCTGCGGTGATGAATATGTGAATTGAACATGGCTCGTTCCTGTTTGTTACGATATGTGACAGGTCTCGCTGATCTTGGCTTTCTGCCGACGGTTGTTGCGCTAGGGTCGTTGTTCCTACTTCCCCGAAACCAACAGGTGAGCAGGGAAGTAAAGTTGCCGTCTGGGTTGCGCTTGGTGCCGTTTTCGTTACCACCATGGAATTGCACCTACGTAGTTTTATTCGTACGGAAGAAGTCCATTATACGCACACGCACACACACACACACACACACACACACACACACACACACACACACATACACGCAACGCAAGCATCTCTATTCGGAACGGCAAGCGGACGCACAGATGTCCACATGAATAGATTCCGTACGCAGTAAATATCCAGCAGCTCTGCAAGAAGAGCCGGCAGATCATCCATCTGTTTCCGACTCGTACTTTGATCAATGCCACATGGCGTGGTGGTGTCTGTCTGCCTCGCAGGCCTCGTATCAGAGAATCGCTGTTTAGGTCAGGTAGGGAGGCGGCAACAACACCTGGGGACAGGAAACTCCCCTCCAAAAAAGCAGACCACATAACAAGGCAAAGTCTGTTCATATTGCCTATCTGCCTACCATGCCGCCCCAATGGCGAAATTTGGCGGCCCAACAACAATACCATTTTCTTTGTCCATGTTTCAGAGACACCTGAGTGGGCTGGACCACAGTGACAGCAAAGCTTCTGGACAGCACTTGACCAAAGGGCCAGAAGTGTTGGCAAATGCGCTGTGTGCTGACACCAGGTTCTAGATGTGACGTGACCCCGCGAAAGCGATCGCTCGTTGGCTCTATTTCCGCTGAAGACGGCCAGTGCTGCGCGCTCAGGTGCTGGCCTCGTGACGCCTATTCAGGATTCCTGTGTCTTTCCCCGCACTGGCTGGATTTGGCTGGCCGTTGCTATTGTGGGGATAGTGTAGACTGAGTCTCGTTACGGGGTCCAGATGTCTGTGTATGTGGTCTGTCCATCTTTTCTGTCTATTCTTCAGGCAAAGAAAAATGGGGGCCACGCCACATGAGACCACCGCATTAGCAACGATGGCCTTCTACTGTGGATTTATTTTCAAGTTGTAAAATCATCAAAGGTACGAAGTACTAGCAGTTCATTTCGCGAGTCCCTACCTGTACACGACATCGGCATGTTGAACCCGCAAACGTCCAGGCTTCACTTTCCATATTCCAGTTTCAACGACATTCATGGAGAAAAGAAAAACGCCATGCTGCATATCAGGCAGACACGTGCGCAACCGATCACGTCCCGCAACGAAAGAGGAAGAAAAAAAGAAGTGACCAACACGATGTCGCTTACAGCATAATGTTGGCATAGTATGATTGAGCAGTGTACTATTCCGCAGCATAAGGCTACATACCCCAAAGATCCCGTGAATCTGCCACTGATGCGCTGGCATTTTTCTTTCCCGTTCCCGTGAGCATGTCTCGGTGGGAACGCTGCAACAGACTGGGGTGAGGATTGCCCAGGTACGTAGTGATGGTGCACCAGCCTGGGGAATTGCCTCATAGCGTTCATTTCATAGCAGCGACCTCCCTGGGGGGGATTGTCCCATTTCTCCGCATGAAACTCGTGGTCACCTGAACGTTTTGTTGGCTCAGCCTCGGGTGGCTAGGCCGACAGACCCTCCGCGGCCAAATTGTACACATAGTAGCAGGTCGGAGAACCACAGACAGCCAAGTCATTGAGCGGTCCACTGACCATCTGACGGAATGCATTCCACTGCGCCGGTCCATCTAACCTAGGACCAAGGTAATTAACCACAGCGACGACACAAGACGTCAAGAAATTATCCCCCGTATGCGCTACTACAACAAGAGGCGCTCTGATGATACAAATGCCGGCATGAGTACCTAGCTAGCCTGGGCGGATTGGTTTCCCTACGCCCTTGTCCTCGGTAAAAAGTATCTGCGCCGCATCGTGCCATAGGAAACCACTACCTTGCCCATCTTTCTACACAGTAGTAGGTACCTACATTACCTAGGCACACAGCAACCAGACTGCCTTGGCCCAAGCCCGCAGAAGCAAAAGGCCGACACCCCAAGGTAATGAATGTATTGGCGCTGTCGCTTCCGCTTGATGGCCGGCCGAATGGGCGACCAGCACTTTTTCGTGACAGCTCGTGACAGGCATATGTCATTTGTAACCGAAAAGGCAAAAAACTCTACATGATAAAACAATTATCATCTCACACAAGGCTTTTCTTTTCACAAGACCATAATCCCAGGTAGAGCAATATGGGCAATCCTCGTTTAATTTAGTCTCGGCACGGCGCTTCGTATTATTCACTGGGCTCATTCCGGGATCATCATCAGCAACTCTGATAGCTGGGACAGTGAGATCCTATCAAATCTAGCGGGCAAGCATTCACGGCTCTGTTGCGTAAGCTATGGCGGCGCGCCGTCGGAGACCTGGACCAATAGAGGATCCACCTCGGAGAAGTATGCATTTACCGTGCTCACTTCCGGGGCGCCCCATTTCCTCTCCCAGTCTAAAACACTATCACAGTGATCGCTACCAGGTCGGTTATTGGGAATCATCCGAGCGAGTTGCATCCATTCACATGCAGAGGCGTAGGACTCTTACGAACCTGGCAAGGCTGAGTGTTTTATAAGGCGTTTCCTTGCCCCAGGTAATTCATCAGGCCATGGCCTGTCAAGTTGCGACGTGAAGCAATGTTCCAGCACCATTAAATGATAGGCCGGCTTTGTACCAATCGCTTCTGTTTATCGTATGTAGTCGCTTATTCAAAATCCAAGCCAGCTTTTAGTAGTACCTACTTATGAGAACTGCGCATTCCTGCTCAATACCACTATGGCCGGACAGACACACACTCGCAATCGCAATCACAATCATATGCGTTTGTATCATGGATTGAAATCAGGGCCGAACTTTGAGCAGCATATGAGCCCTCGCTTAATGCGTCGCTTGACTTGCCCTAGCCGCCTGTCTGTCACGTTCACATTTATTTACCAAATAAACAGCAAGCGAGCGCTGCAAAAGCAGGCATGCCACGTTGTTTGCACTCTTGACGACCATC